GTCGGAGCAATGTCAGACGGCCACTCCTTCAATAATATCTCTCTCAGCGGTCGCGGCGGAACGGTTCGTTCCTCTCTCTCTTTGTCTCTCTTACTACGCCGGTTTTTCTTTAGGATCTTTCACTTCCTTTAGGCTTTTGCCTTCTCCTCTCCATCCGAAACCCTAATTTCTTGTTCGTGTAGCCGTTTTGTGTTTCCGCCGTTTGATTATCCGAGAGGTAAAGAATGTGCGATTTTGGGTGAAAAATTAGGTTGTTGGGTATGTCTTTTTTTCTGGGTTACAATCGTTTTCGAAATCGCGAGTCAGTGCAATTAGGGTTACATCTCGTCGCTGTTCTTGCATCCTACAAATTCTTCGCCATGAATATATTGCTAGTCAGTTTTTCGACACAGAATATGGTTTTGTGCTTATTTTGGGTTTCAATTTGGTATTGCAGAACCCTGGACTCCTTAAAATTAACTCCGGAGGCATTCAATGGAAGAAGCAAGGTGGTGGAAAAGCTGTGGAAGTCGAGAAATCTGATGTTGTAGGTGTTAGTTGGATGAAGGTTCCAAGAACAAATCAGTTGGGTGTCAAAACCAAAGATGGGTTATACTATAAGTTCATTGGCTTTAGGGATCAGGTTTGCGCATATCTTCTTGCTTCTGTTTTAAATTGATCCCATACGTCGGATATTCGTTGTATCTCATACATCTGTTTTGTTTGTTCAATAGGATGTTGCAAGCCTGACCAGCTTTTTCCAAACTAGTTTTGGAAAAACTCCTGAGGAGAAACAACTATCTGTCAGTGGTCGCAATTGGGGAGAGGTGGATTTGAATGGTGAGTTCTTTATCTCCTTATGGTGTTGTTTCTTTCTCCTAAGGGACTGGTTTTAGTTGTAGAAGAATCAACCTGTATATTTACTTTGAGATGTTAAGTTAACTTAAGATTCCCTAGTCAATATGTGGTTCTGAAGTGATAACTTTCTTCCTGTCTCCTTTTTTGTGCAGGGAATTCACTAACCTTTTCGGTCGGTGCAAAGCAAGCTTTTGAAGTATCTCTAGCTGATGTATCACAGACTCAGCTTCAAGGGAAAAACGATGTCATATTGGAGTTTCATGTTGATGACACTGCTGGTGCCAATGAGGTACTAATTTCTACTGCAACCTGTTTTTTTGTTGGAAATGTTATCTCGAGGCTAATATGTATGCAAGGGTAAATACGCTAGCTGGTTTCATGATTATATTTTATATGCAATTGCAGAAAGACTCACTGATGGAGATAAGTTTTCATATCCCCAATTCCAACACCCAGTTTGTTGGTGATGAAAACCGTCCGCCTGCTCAAGTAAGTTTCCGAACCTTTTTGATTTACAGGTGTGTCTCAAGTATTGTTCTGTTGATGCCAAGAGCATGTCTCAGGTTTTCCGTGACAAAATCATGTCAATGGCTGATGTTGGTGCTGGAGTTGAGGAGGCGGTCGTCACATTCGAGGGTATTGCAATCCTCACACCCAGGTAAATATTGTTTCTTCATGTTTTCTTGACTATTAGAGTATTAGTTGATCTCTTTATCATTTGTGGTACTACTGTACGCTTGCATCATCTCTTGACTACATAACTGGTTTTTTTCTGTCACAGGGGTCGGTACAGTGTGGAACTTCACCATTCTTTCTTACGTTTGCAAGGACAAGCTAATGACTTTAAAATCCAATACAGTAGTGTTGTCCGCCTGTTTTTGCTTCCTAAGGTAATTCTTTGAAGCATACCTCAGGGCATTATACTTTTTTAGTAGTCATCAGGTAGAGGGATTATCATTTTCTGTTCGCTGAATCTTATACCCATCAATGGTACTCTTGTTTTCTGTTTTATGCCTGAGCAGTCAAACCAGCCACATACGTTTGTTGTTATCTCTCTAGACCCACCAATTCGAAAAGGTCAGACAATGTACCCCCATATTGTGATGCAGGTAAACATTACTTTTATGTTCCCTTTCATTACAATTTTCTGTCTATAAGTGCGTTTCTTTATCTATTCTACTCTGTTTTTACATATCTGTTTTCCCCACCTTGCTAGTTTGAGACTGACTTCGTCGTCGAAAGTGAACTGTCAATTAGTGATGATCTTTTGAATACAAAGTTCAAGGACAAGTTGGAGCGATCATACAAGGTTTATTTCTGGTCTAGACTTATGTTATCATTCCCTAATTTCAGAATTCTACATAGACCGATAGCTAAGGATATGGCTATATGAATTTTCAGGGTCTCATTCATGAAGTGTTCACCACAGTTTTACGTTGGCTGTCTGGTGCAAAGATCACTAAACCAGGGAAGTTCCGCAGTGCCCAAGATGGGTTGGCAGTGAAATCATCTCTTAAGGCAGAAGACGGTGTTCTTTATCCACTGGAGAAGGGCTTTTTCTTTTTACCTAAGCCTCCAACACTTATACTTCATGATGAGGTATTTTGTGTCTATTGAGAATTGGAAATTTTTGTTAGGCTTTGAGATAAAGTTGGTTTGTTTAACCCGTTTGGTTTTCATTTTTTAGATTGACTATGTGGAGTTTGAGAGGCATGCTGCTGGTGGCGCTAACATGCATTATTTCGATCTTCTCATTAGACTGAGAACTGATCATGAACATCTGTTCCGGAACATTCAGAGGAATGAGTATCACAATCTGTATAACTTCATAAAGTAAGCACGGGTTACTTCAATTTCAACATTTGAAGTTATTGAGTATTTAATTGTAGTGGTGAATAAACATTATATTCTCTTGCAGGGACAAGGGTTTGAAGATTATGAACCTTGGAGGTGATGGGGCCGCAGATGGTGTTGCTGATGTTCTCCGG